CCCCAAAACCCCAAAACCCCAAAACCCCAAAACCCCAAACTGGCAATAGTACATAGAATTATATATTTTTATCTCAACATGAAATCACTATCAATAACTAAGACTAAATTAACAAGCTTAAAGAATAGAAGAGGGTGCTTCAGTCCTCAGAATAGGCTTCCAGCTAAAAAGTTGGCCAATATTACAATGAATAGAAGGAAGAAATGTCAACAGAAGAGACCTCGTAAGTTCTTTGTTGTTAAGTTTAGACTGATTTTCACCACAAAATGCTACAAGAAGAGCATTTGAGGTGAGAGATCATATCAGAAAGCAAGTGTTAACTCCTTCAAAAACACATGTAAGTTCATAGTTCCTGCATTTTGGGATATTTCTAACTATCCCCTAGTTTTTCAGACCATTAGGACTCACCAACTGGTGTATGTATTTATAAAGCAATGGTAATTTTTATGAATAATAAGTTAATAAAGGAATCTTAGATTTTTCAAACAACTTTAAACCTTCAAATTGTCAGATTAATTAAGCAGATTCCTGAACCTTCATTCGGTTATTTTATAATGAACCATGTGAATTGAGGTGAATTAAGAGGTTTATCAATAAACTTTTAGTATTTTCATAACATCTGAATTAATACCACTTTCATAGAGAATGATAGTAAAGTCTAAGGATGCTAAACCCAGAGTAAGAAGACATAGAAATGTTGTTGTGAATCTCAAAGCTTCAAGAAGTAAGTTTTACTAGCTCAAAAGTTTCTAGAACTCTATAAAAAGCCTCAAAAATATAATAGTCCTCGTGTTCAAGAAAATTGTAAGTCTTTTAAAATTTCTCGTGTTCATAAATTGTTGTGCTTACTTTATATGCAGATTTTTCATCAGGAAATATGGAAACACTACCCCAGTGCAACACTAAGGATTCTTCCTCCAAGAAGATTATGACAGAAGGAGGAGATGATAAGCCTTTAATGAAGAACTTCCAGCCCCATCCCTTAAAGTTCTACATCGATTTTGAAAAGATTCATGAAAATTTAAAAGAAAAATTGGGTTGAAAATTATCTGAAGTGGCCGACCAGCACAGATGATTCAGTTCTCCTACTAAACTATTTGAAAAAATCAGACTACTTTCTCCTGCCTCTAGGAACAACAGAGATTTGAACTCATTCGGAGAAGTATCTTCAAGTGATATTGACCTCAGCTGTGCTCAAAGACAAAGAGTTAATCTAAAGAGCTCTTTTAAAGCTTCAGGAAAGAGAAAGCAAACAGAGATTTTAATATAGAATAAGCTCATTTCTGGCCCGAGAGATGAAGCCTTGATTATTTTATAAAAATTCTGAATATTCAGTTCTCTTATAGGTATTTTTGATTCGATACTGGATAAAAAAATTTATACATGTTAGTATGATTTCCACTAAAGTTCTTGATTCATGCATTTAAAATTATGAAAAATTACACCTATGAGATTGCTTATAAAGCAAGCTAACAAATTTTCCAGACTCTTTTAAGAGAGTGGTATATAAGCATCGATCTGTTACTTCTTCGACTTTATTTCTAAAGTTCAACAATGTTATTATAACTTGGGGTTTTGGGGTTTTGGGGTTTTGGGGTTTTGGGG